TGGTATCATTGTTCATTGGCGTGATCCTTGGAGCTCATTGGACAATCAATTTAGCTGAATTGGTGAGCTCCAGGTTCAGTGAGAGACCTCATCTTAAAACAGAACTTGGAAAACGACTGAGGAATACATTTGATGTTGCCTCCACACCTATGAATGCACACAATCACATACACACACACACACACACACACACACACACACACACACACACACACACACACACACACGGGCAGGGGGAGAGGGAGATAGGGAGAGAGAGAGAGAGAGAGAGAGAGAGAGAGAGAGAGAGAGAGAGAGAGAGAGAGAGAGAGAAGAGAAATGATTTATAGTCACTTCTAAATGGGCCTCCAGCTCACAAATAATGACATGGAGACTTATTATTAATTATAAAAGCTTGGCCTTAGCTTAGGCTTGTTCCTAACTAGTTCTTATAACTTAAATTAACCCATATTTTTAAAATCTACCTTCTTCCATGTACTCTTTAGCTCATCTCCATTTTGCCCATCCGGCTTCCTCAACATCTGGCTGGTGATTTCTCCTCCTTTCTCTCTCCCAGAGCTCTCTGTCCTCAGAAGTCCCACCTAACCTTTTCCTGCCTAGCTAATGGCCATTCAGCTCTTTATTAAATCAATCACAGTGACACATCTTTACACAATGTAAAGGAATATTTCACAACAGTCACTCCTTGGCACTTAAAATGGAGTAACTCAGATCAAGGCTGTTGCTATGTAAGATGAAGTCATTCAGGGTCATGTACACATTGAAAGCTGATATCCGTACAACATAGACTCCCCAGAGTAGGCCCTGCATATTCGATTCATTGTCTCCTAGTACTGTCATCTCTGCCATTTTGTATCTGTTTACAATGACTGATGTTCATTCTGGTTATGGACCTAGTTTTTCTGAAGTTTTACAGGTCTGGCATGTTATTTTTGTATTCATTTGTTTTATTTCTGAGACAGTTTTGATATGCACATGTTTGCCTTGAACTTGCTACATAACCTTGGATTTCCTTTTGTGTGTATATTACCAGGGATTGAGCCTAGACATTCTACCACTGATTCATTCTCTAGTCCTTCTCTTACTTTTCATTTTGAGTCTTGTGAAGTTGGCCAGGCAAGCCTTCAGCTTTCAATCTTTCTGCCTCTTGATACCTGAGATTACAGGCCTGTGTCACCAAGCCCAGTTTAACTAATTTTTAAAAATCTGTAATATTTTTCTGTTAACTAATAAGTTTTTATGTTGCTGGTACATTTAGCTTCACTATTGCTTGTTTCATGCTTTCTGTTTTTCCATCTTACATACTTGGTTTTTTATGCATTTCTGGCTGCCACTGCTCATCAGTATAGAAGTTACACATTCTATATTTTTTCCTTTAGATGTTAAAGTTATAATTGCTAATATAACCAACTCCTTAAGACTGTTTGACTAATGAGTACCACACCCTGCCCACTAGCACACACCTCTGCTTTCTTTGTCAATCTCCCCGTTTTCATAATCTTGTCATGCACTATTTTAATTTCACATTGTCTTTATATGTTCCAATATGTAATTATTGTTGTTCTTGTGATCAGTACTGTTTGTATCTACCTATAGCCTTATAAGACCTGTGTTCACTTGCTTCTTGGGTCCTATTTCTTCCTTAGTTCCTTTTCTGTCCTTTCTTCCTGCAGAAATCAGTGTGTTCATTATTTCCATCTCATTGAAAATGACTAGTGTACCATTAGTCTTGAGAATTAATTTAGCTGAACATTGAATTCTAGATTGAGAATATTTCCCTTTTTAATTTAAAAAATAACCTGGTAGGGGTTGGAGAGATGACTCAGTAGTTAAGAAGGCATACTGATTTTGCAGAGGACCTAAGCTCAGTTCCCATATCCACATTGGGCAGCTCACACTGCCTGTAATACTATCTCCAAGGGATTTGATGCTTTTTTTCTGGCTTCCAGGGGGTACTTGCATACCTGCAGTGTACACATACATAGACATAAACACATACACATACATAAAAATAGAAATAAATCTTTGATATAGTAACCCCTCTCTTTTTTCTTAGTAGATCTCTTTTTTTTTTTTTTTTTTATTCTAGCTGTCACTCCTCAGACGTCTGCCTTTGCCATTGGTTTTCTCATAGTTTGAAATCTACTGTCACATGCCTAGGTTTGTTTTCTCTGGCTTTGGTATTTTGGATTTTTCTTTTTCTGTTTCATTCAGAGTACTTGTAGCTCTTACTAGTTCTGGAAACATTTCAGATATTGCTTCTTGAACATTACTGTTTTCTAATTCACTCTATTGTCCCCTCAACTCTTACTCATCTTGAATCATTTCCCTTTGTCGGTCTTTGTCATAGTTTCTGCATGTTTGTGTTCTTTTTTTTTTTTTTTTTTTTCCGAGACAGGGTTTCTCTGTGTAGCTTTGCGCCTTTCCTGGAACTCACTCTGTAGCCCAGGCTGGCCTCGAACTCACAGAGATCCACCGGTCTCTGCCTCCCGAGTGCTGGGATTAAAGGCGTGTGCCACCACCGCCTGGTGCATGTTTGTGTTCTATACCTTGTCTTCCAGTTCACGCTTCCCTTTTCATTTGTTCAAGTTTGCTCTTGATATTTTTGTTAAGACTCTTATTGCAGATATTGCCTTTCTTTCTAGAAGTTTTATTCAATTATTTTTCAAATGTGCCTATTTTTCCATGTGCTACTTTTTTCTTTTCAGATTCATTCCTTAATGTCTTTAGTACTTTCCAGCGTATTTTGCCATGCCAATGAAAATATTTTGCTCAGGAATGTAGATTTCTGGAGGTGAGGTCTTGTTCTGTTGCTCCAACCGTCCTTTGACCTCCTATATCACAGGCTTTCCTCAAGAGAATCCTCCACCCCATGGAATCTTGTGTGGTCTCAGTGTGGTGCTGTTCCTCCAGGAGGGTGGATTTGCTTTTGTAAAGTGGCTCTAGGTTATCACTGACAGGGGACAAACCTTATGCTAACATTTAGAACTAGAGATGAGTAAAGTACCATTCCAAAAGTAAGTCAGAATTAAAGTTTATATTTATCACAGAAAAAATAAAATTGTGTTCTTATCCAGAGATAAACTTTGAGTGGTTTCTGTATGGCTGAGTAGATTTCCCTCCTAAAGCCTTCTTTCATTTATAGTACATTATTCAAGAATCCCAGATTATGTAGAAGTCACAGTCATGGTTCTTTTTATTTGTGTGTGTGTGTGTGTGTGTGTGTGTGTGTGTGTGTGTGTGTGTGTGTGTTTTACTGGCAATTAAACCCATAGTCTTACGTTTGCTAAGCAAGGTGCTGTATCCCTGAGCTGAAAACCCTTCTATTGCTTTGCTTCTTTTGGGTAAATGGAAATTTCTTCCTTCTTTGTAAGCTCAGATATGGAAATAATAAAATGTTTTGTTGTGGAGTGTGATGGCACTTGGAAAGCAGAGGCAGGTGGAACTCTCTGAGTTCAAGGCCAGCCTGATCTATGTCTGGTCTACATAGTGAGTTCCAAGCCAGCCAGAACTGCATAGTGAGACCCTGTTTCAAAACAAAATGTTTTGTTGCTCAGTTTTATCTTGAGGCTTTTCTCCTTAGCTTAATCAATCCTTTTAGTAGAGCCTACAACATCCAGAGTGATCTTTCAAAATTCTAGAAGCCTGGTTACATCACCTCACCATTTGAAGATCACAGCTTACTAAACCTCGCCTTACTGTGTTTTGTAAGCTTCTCCTATTACTTTTCTCTGTGAGCTCTAAGTTCCAGTCACACCAGCCTTCTCTCAGTTCTTGGAGCATGTTATTCTTCTTACATTCAAACATAGCTATGACACTTTGCATTTTTTCCAGCTTGAAATGCCTCTTCTCGCTATTTGTCTACTCACTGTTCAGTCATATACTTAGGGAAGTCTTTCCTGACTCTCTGATTCTTTCAGTGTAGGTCAGGTTTTTTTGTTGCCTGCTATTTCCAGAAATATTTTCTTCATGTGTTTATACATTCATCTGTAACATATTTGAATAATATAGAACCCCCTCAGTAGTAAAGGTTTGTGGGAGCAGAGGTAATTTTGTTTCCCATTGAATTTGTCTCTAGGCACAGTGACTGACTATAGCATACAAAGTATTCTGTAAAGATGTAAGGGATGGGTGGACAGATGGTTGGCTAGAAGGCTGATGTGAAGAATGAGTAAGAATGGCTACAGAAGGAAGGGAGATCAAGAGGGTGAAAGGGACCTTGAATTATGGCAAAATAACATGTGCCAGGAGCAATTTTTGGTGCTTTATACTTGTAAAAGCACTTGTTAAAGAACACACAGTCTTTGCCTCCCAGCTCTGTTATCTTCACATTATAGCAAACAAATACTTCTCTGTAGGTGGCAGTGCACTTACGTAAGCATCACGCTAGGGGGAGGGGGGGAAGGTGTGGGGAGTGGAATTATTTTGAACATTTGAAAGCATTTATGTAACTTGAATCTCATATTATGGCTTTTAAAATATGCTTTTCCCCATAATTGGTTATGCTTAATTTGTACTTGCTCAGAAGCTTTTTCTCTCAGAAGTATTAGAGTTAGAAAATTATCAGTCCTCATTTTATGATAGTATGACTGATATAAACATGTCAGTGAAGAATTGAACAAAGCTCTCTGAATGTGGCAGTGGCTATCATTTTGTCTTTGGCAGCAGCAACATTTGTATTGTAGACCATGAAAACTGTGCAAATACAGATACAACTATAGGGCAAACTGTATATATTGTACAGGCATTGAACCTGCAGGCGTTTTAATAGGAAACAGTTTTTTCCTAATTGCATCTTTTAAACTACTCATAGGATTTATTAAAGAAACCCGAAGTCTCAATTTATCTCTCACAGAACATTTTGTGTATCCCATCAGCATCTATATCACCTAAGGTCTTCTATTCTAGTGCTGAAAGATTTGCCCCATTTTGTTGTTCATGTTGACTCTCTTACATCTAAAATACTTACATCTGTGTATACAATCATCTTGTCTTTGCAGCACTTAAATGCAGAGCGCTCTTACAAATCCCAGATTTCAACTTTACACAAGTCTCTTGTGAAGATGGAAGAGGAGCTTCAGAAGGTTCAGTTTGAAAAGGTGTCTGCACTTGCAGACCTGTCTTCTACGAGGGAACTCTGTATTAAACTTGACTCAAGCAAAGAACTTCTTAATCGACAGCTGGTTGCCAAAGATCAAGAAATAGAAATGGTATGTAATACATTGAGAATTGCTGTTACTTTAACATTATAACAATTTTAAAAAAGGGATTTGTTTTTTATAAAATACTATATCAAATGTTTGTGCCTTTAGCTTTAAATTTTGTTTTTATTATGCTTTTTAAATTTTATTTTTAAAGTTTAAAAGTTAATTTATGACAGCTGTGTTCTACAGAATTTAAGAACATAAAAGACCTAACATCTTTCTTTGAACTCGTAGTTTGCAATTGTGTTTAGCCAGAATTATAAAACACATTGACAGAGCTGTGAGCAAAGAATCACGAGTCTTATTCAGCTAAATTATAACCTTAATGGTATTCTTTTCAGCTAAATTTATCTAATAATTAGATGAGTCCTTTTAAGTTGTAATGCAGTTGATTGTATCTACTTTGCACTTACACTTGGATATTCAAACCATGCAGGCTGGTGCTCTCCAGGACCTCTAAATATTGGCATATAAACAGTTTGAGATGAATAGAGAAATAGAAGAGTCCATAAGGAATTGCTGCTGAACTTGGGTGGATGGGGGCATTCCACATAGGCAATTATAGAGAGGTCCATGTAGATTCTTGAATGAAAAGAAGTATTTTTAGTGACCAATGTGATGTGTTTGAGAAATAAATCTGGAGGGACAGAATCCAGCTCTTAGTGTATAGATATTGTACAGTGTAACTGAAATATCAGCAAATCTTGGTCACCTTGGTTATTGGTTATTACTAAACCTTATTGAATTTCTTATTTTGTTAATCCACCCTTTATGATATATTTGAGAATCATATGTCTAGTTTATTTTATAAGAATCTATTAATCTTTAATGAAGTACCATCTGCCCAAATCTTCACTCATTCTTAATTATTTTTTATTTTACCATGAACTTTTTTAATGATTAATTTGCTATGTAAAAACTTAAAAAATAATAACCTTTTATTTAAAAATTTACTTGATGTTTTCTAATTGGAAAAGCCTTAGCTTGTTACTATAACAACTGAAATGATATAAAAATCAAAGTATCAGTAGTTATAAGCCCATAGCGTATCAAAAATAGCCACATGCCATGCCGGGCAGTGGTGGAGCACACCTTTAATCTCAGCACTCAAGAGGCAGAGGCAGGCAGATCTCTGTGAGTTCGAGGCCAGCCTGGTCTACAGAGCAAGATCCAGACCAGGCACCAAAACTCAAAACTACACGGAGAAACCCTATCTCGAAAAAAAAAAAAAAAATAGCATGCCACTTGCAAGTAGAGTACAGTCCTATAGTAATCTTCTTAAAGTTTTAAATCGTAGCCCTTAGCAGAACCCTGGATAAAACTTGCTAACAATTTAATTTAGAAAATATTTTCTGTAAGTTTTATAGCTTCTTCTTCCCACAGCACTTCAAAAGTACTTCTGGCATTAACCGCTGTGACACTGAACTGTTTATGTATGCGTCTTTATCTCTTTAGTAAGCTATGTTGTCAAATGCCAGGATCATCTTTTTATTTTTATACTTCTTCAGTTAATGAAAACATTGGGATTAAAAAAAAATTCTGTGGTGGTTTGAATGAGAGTGGTCACTATAGGCTCAGATGTTTGATGCTTTCAAGAACTGTTTGCAACGGGTTAGGAGATGTCACCATTTTGGAGAAAGTGTTTCATTTGGGGTAGGCTTTGAGGTGTCAAACATCCATGCCATTCCCAGTTAGCAGTCTCTCTACCTCCTACTTGTGAATAAGGATGTGAGCTCTCAGCTTCTGTTCAGCACCAGGACTGTCTGCCTACTGCCCTGTTCCCTACCATGATTGATGGTCATGGATTCTAACCTCTGAACTGTTAGCCCCCAATAAACATTTTTTCTATAAGATGCCTTGGTCATGGTATCTTACCACAGCAACAGAAGGTAACTAAGACAATTTGTGATTTTTAAGGGAACAGGTTTGCATCTAATTTAATAAATTATACAAAGAGTACCCGTTACCTAGTTTCCCTTAATGACTACATCTTACAAAACTATAGCCTGATATAATTATGGTATTAACTTCCAGGCAAAAACAAGAGACCATCCATTGTAGAATCTATCATGTTTCCTTTTGGCATAGTTCTCTACTATATCCTGTCTGCATGCTTCTTAACCTCTGCCAGCTGTTAACCTCTTGCTCATTTCAGTAATTTTGTCATTTCAAGAACCAGTAAGCATGGGGGAAGGATAATGAAGGAAGGAAGGAAGGAAGGAAGGGACATAAATAAGAACAAAGTAATATATATTTATAGATAGAACGTAGTGTTCTACTTTGTATGCTAAGTAAGATTAATTTAAGAGAATGTTAATATACATGAAATCACATGATACAGATTTTTGAGGATTGGCTTCTCTTCCTCAGCCTGAATCTCTGGAGACTCATTCAGGTTGTTGCATCTGTCATAGTTCACCTTTTACTGCTGAAAAATATTCTGTGCAGTTGGTATAACTATTTAGCCATTCACTCACTGAACATCATCTGGGTTGTTTTCAGTTTGGAACTTCTGAGAATAAAGCTACCATAAACATATATGAGCACTTTCTGTTGTTTTATTTGCTTTTTGAGACAGGGGTTTGATGTGGGATGCCCTTCTGTACACCACAAATACATGTTGCTTTTATTGGTTGATGAATAAAGCTGCTTTGGCCTATGGCAGGACAGAATATAGCTAGGTGGGAAAGCCAAACTGAATACAGGGAGAAAGAAGGGCAGAGTCAAGAGAGACACCAGCAGCCACCAGAACAGTAAGATGCCAGAGCATTAGTGGTAAGCCACAGACCACGTGGCAATACACAGATTAATAGAAATGGATTAATTTAAGTTGTAAGAACTAGTTAGTAATAAGCCTGAGCCATTGGCCAAACATCTATAATTAATATAAGCCTCTGAGTAATTATTTTATAAGCGGCTGTGGGACTGGATGGGATGCAGAAAAGCCTCCAGCTATAGGGTTTCACTATATAACTTGGTTGTATGAGTGTAAGTCTTCATTTCTCTGCAAATGGTCACAAATGCTATTTTTAGGTGATATGTTAATTGTATGATTACTTTTCAGAAAAGTTCCAAGCAATTTTCCTAAATATTTGTATCATTTTTCTTGTCTATTAATGATAATGAGTGATCTAGTTTTTCTACATCCTTGTTCAAAGTTATCACTTAAAATTTTTTCTTTAGCATTCTATGTATGTACAGTGCTAAATGAGGGTGATTTAAATATTCATTTAACCACTGAATGGCAAAGGTGAACTTTTCTTCATGTTGTTGTGTGCCATATGCATGTCTTTGTTTGTTGTGACATGTCTCCTGTTATTGTCCATATTCTCATTGGATTGTTTTTCTAATGTTGAAACTGACTTAAGGAAAAGCAGAAAACCTGGTTGTCTTAGGGTTCTTATTGCTGTGAAGAGTCACCATGACCATGGAAATTCTTATAAAGGAAAACATTCAGTTAGGGCTAGTTTACAGTTTCAGAGGTTTAGTCCATTATCACCATTGTGGGAAGAGTGGTGGCATTCAGGCAGACATAGTGCATAGAGCTAAGAGTTCTACATCCAAATCAGCAGTCAGCAAGAAGAGAAACTGAGACACATTGGTCACACTTCCTCCAACAAGGCCATACTTCCTAATAGTGCCACTCCCTATGAACCTATGGGGGCCATTTTCTTTCAAACCACCACACTGGATACACCTCTAAATGAATATAAAACTTGAAATGGTAACTTGAGAACTTCCAGAAAGCAAATTGAGGTCTAGATTGCTTTAGTTGTGAATTCCCTTAAGTGTTTAAAGATGTTCGGATACAAAAATGTTTAACTCTTCTGAAGATAAGTGAGAACATTTCTCAACATATTCTAGACTCCAATATGATACCCAATCCTGGCTAGAGCCCCCACTAGAGTGCTGGACTGAAATGGCATGCTAGGTGTTTCTGTGTCATTTAGGTGTTCATCATTAAGTATAGTGGTTGCTGTAGGTTTTTATAGATGCTTTTATGAGATTGAGAATGTTTCTTTGTATTCCCAGTTTATAGTTTATTTTTACTAACATAGTCAGCTCAAGAAAATGAAACACCAGTATTTTTTTTTTTTTTTTGGTTTTTTGGGACAAAGTTTCTCTGTGTAGTTTTGGTGTCTGTCCTTGAGCTCACTCACTCCGTAGACCAGGCTGGCCTTGAACTCACAGAGATCCGCCTGGCTCTGCCTCTCAAGTGCTGGGATTAAAGGCGTGCGCCACCGCCGCCAGGCCATACCAGTATTTCTTATGACTATAATTTCTTTTAAAAGTCTTAATGTGATAACTACAAAACCAGATTCAAATCTGGGGAGATGCCATGTCAAATGCTTCCAGTTTGCTTCTTTTCCACCTAACCCCCAAATCCTAGTTCCAAGATTAGGTTAGTGATTTGAGATCTTCTGGGAAGGTCACAGAACATAAGCTCAACACTAGGACTAACATTTGGATCCCCAGCACCCATGTAAATGCTGAGTGCTTGGTGGTGCCTGAAGAAGTCCTGAAGAAGCACAGACAGGTGGGTACCTGCAGCTCACTGGCAAGCCATTCTAGCCAATCAGTGAGCACCAGGTTCAGTGAGGGACCCTGTCTCCAAAAATTAAGGTAGAAAAGCAATTGTAGAAGACATCTGAGTTGACCTGTGGCCTCTACCACACATGTGCACACACACTCCCAGGCATGTGCACATTCAACACACACACACACACACACACACACACACACACACACACACACACACACAATCCAACAGCCCATGAAATGAATTTATAGGCTACTCAAATGGGAGTTATCCCATGAATGTAGGATTGGTTTGTATCTGAAATCAATCAATGTAGTACATATTGAATAATCAAGAACAAAACCTGAAAGATTTTCTCAAATAGATGAAGAAAAAGAATTTGGCAAAATCCAATACCTTTATGTAAGAAAGAGTGATTATAATCTGGGAATACAAGGAACCTTTTTCAATCTCATAAAAAACATCTCTGAAAAACCTACAGCAGCCAGGCAGTGGTAGCACATGCCTTTAATCCCAGCACTTGGGAAGCAGAGGCAGGCAATCTCTGTGAGTTCGAGGCCAGCCTGATCTACAGAGCAAGATTCAGGACAGGCACCAAAACTACACAGAGAAACCCTGTCTCAAAAAACCAAAAAAAAAAAAAAAAAAAAAAAAAAAAAGAAAAGAAAGAAAAAAGAAAAGAAAAACCTACAGCAGCCACTGTAGTTGATGATGAAAACATCTGACTGTTTTTCCACGATGACAGAAACATCGTGACACATGCTCGGTGTTTCTGGGTCATTAGCTGAAAAGCATTTAGTAGTATCTAGACACATTTTGGGGTTGTTATGACCAGAGTGGGGAATGCTGCTGGTATCTAGTGAGTGGAGGTCAGGGATAGTGCTAAACATCCTATAATCCTTGGGAGAAGCTCCATAAGCAAAATTACCCAAATTAAAGTGTGAGTGTCAGGGTACATAGAGTATCAGGACAAGAAACTCTGCACTAGAAGTAGTATCTTGTTCATTTTATGTCTATTTTAGTACTAGCAAGGCATCCTAGGTTGCTTTCCTGTTGCTGCCGTAAATACTATTGGTGAAATTATTAAGGCCACTCCACGTAGTTAAAAGGAGATTTATTTAATGGCGTAACTTACAAATTAAAGGATAGGTAGGTCGCGGGGACTGGGGAAGGTGTATCACAGTCCAGCGGTGTTCTCTGGAGCTCTGCTTGGCCCACCTCCACCGTCCAGGGTCCCGGAACAGAGAGTGAGCGCTGGCCCATCCAGATCTCAGGTCTCCAGGCGCCTCCCTTGGCCCCGCCTTGTAGGCATGACAGTTGCTGAAGTCTCAGTGGGGGTTGGAACTTCCAGATCAAAGCTGGAATGGCTGCCCACTACAGAACACTATGACCAAAAGCAATTTAGAGAGGGAAAGAGGTTGCTTTCTCTTATGTTTCCAAGTCACAGTCTATTATGGAGGAAAGTCAGGAAAGGAACTCAAGGCAGGAACCTAGACCAGAAACCATGGAGGAACACTGCCTACTGGATTGTTCTTTTCTGCCTGCCTGCCTTCCTTCTTTCTTTTTTCTTTTTCCTTCCTCCTTTCTTTCTTTCTTTCTTTCTTTCTTTCTTTCTTTCTTTCTTTCTTTCTTTCTTTCTTTCTTTCTTTCTTTCTTCCCTTCTTTCTTTCTTTTTCTTTCTTCCTTCCCTCCCTCCCTCCTTCTTCTCTCTCTCTGTCTTTCTCTCTCTGTCTCTCTCTCTCTCTCTCTGTCTCTTTCTCTCTCTCTAAATTGTTTTTATTTTGTGTGTATGGGTGTTGTGGTTTGAATGAGAATGGCCCCCATAGACCCATATATTTTGAATATTTGGTTCCTAGTTGATGGACTGTTTAGGAAGGATTGGGAAATGTGACCTTATTGGAGGAGGTGTGTCACCAGAGTTGGGCTTTCAGATCAGAATAAGTTCTCAGTTTCTGCTTCAGTGCCTGCCTACCTGCCCCCATTCTAGTGAGTGGAGGTCAGGGATAGTGCTAAACATCCTTTAATCCTTGGGAGAAGCTCCATAAGCAAAATTACCCAAATTAAAGTGTGAGTGTCAGGGTACATATACTATACAATCCAGGACTACCTACCCAGGATCTTAGATTAATCCTCTGAAGCTGTAAGCAAATCTCCAATTAAGTGCTTTCTTTTATAAATTGTCTTGGTCATAGTGTCTCTTCACAACAGTAGAACAGTAACTAAGACAGGTGTTTTGTCTGCATGTATGTCTGTATACCACTTTCATGCCTGATGCCTGTGGGGGACAGAAGAAGGTGTTGGATGTCCTAGAACTGGAGTTACAGACAGTTGTGAGCTGCCATGTGGGTGATGGGAACCAATCTCAGGTCCTCTGGGAGAACAGCCCTTGCTATTAACTGCTGAGGCATCTCTCCAGTCCCTCATCTAGCTTTCTAATACAGCCCACGCTCACTTGCCTAGGGATGATACTGCATACATTGAGATGGGTCCTTGAATGTCAATCATCCATCAGTATGATTAGTTGTAGATAAATCCAATTGAGACAATTCTTCAAATGAAGTTCCTTTTTCCCAATAGTCTCTAGTTTGTGTAAAGTTGACAATAAAAACGAACCAGTACAGTCCAGCCCTTGTCAACTTAAGCACAAACACATCACTACTTAACTATAACTTTTCCTTGCTTTGTTGCCAAGATTGCATATTAGTGTTAGTAGCATAAGATAAAACACAGTCCAATTTTTAGAAGACCCACAGTCTTTCAATTTTTCAGTACTTTTAAAGCCTAAGGTTTCTTTAAGAATCCAAAAATATTTTGTCTACAGACTCCTATAAAATTAAAAACAGGTTAAATACTTCTTGTTCCAAAAGAGAAGAATTAGGGCATAGGAGTAATCAGATTAAAGCAAAGCCTCAAGTCACCAATGTAATCAAATCCTGTAGCCCCTTTTTCTGCATCTGGGGCTTACACACACTTATCTGGACTCCAGAAAATTTGGACAGCCAATGTCTCCAGCTTGGCCGCACTCAAGAGAAATAGTTTGTTTGCAAGGCTCAGGATAGCTCTACTAACATTTGACACTGTCCTTAGCAGATGTCTCATGGTCTTAGGGTTTCCATTGCGACTTAGGCTTCACCTTCAGTAGTGGCCTCTCTCTGGGGACTCTGATGCTAACATACTGTTCCAAGCTTCAGTTTCTCTCTCTGACCCCTTCAACCCTGGGGTCTTCATTGGAACTGAAACTACAAGACCTTCACCAATGACCTCTTTTAGCCTCCCTGAGGGAAACTCCAACCCTTTGAGACACGCCAAGCCCCAGCTCCTCTCCGTGGCACCTTCATGCCTTCAAAACCACTACCATGTGAATGACTCTTGCACACTGTCAAGTTCAGCTGCCAGCTTGCCATGTTTTCCTTGATCCCCTTGGACTGAAGCTTCTGTGTGCTGACTCAGAAGAAATAAGTTCCTGTTCACAGGAGATGCCACTTTCATGATGCTGGTCTGTTGTTAATCATAGAAATATTCATCCCCTGATCATCAGTCCATTGTCCCAGTAAAGCACAGAAGGTTTCACTTGCACAGATTCTTAGTCCAAAATACCACATAAATGGCCCACATAGTCTTTGTTTCCCGCTGAAACTTGTGGTTAGTTTTTATTGTCACCTTGGAACAACCTTGAGTCACCTGGGAAGAGAACACTTCAACTGAAGAATTGCCTAGATCAGATTTGCCTGTGGACTTACCTGTGCGAGGTTGTCTTGACTAAATATTGGTGTGGGAGGACCCAGCCCACCGTGGGTGGTGACGCTCCTGGGTAGGTAGTCCTGGATTGTATAGAAAGCTGGCTGAGCATGAGCAGGAGAGAGCCAGTAAGCAGTGTTTCTCCATGGTTTCTGCTCTGACTTCCCTTGGTAACACTATCACCTGGACGTATCAGCCAAATGAATCCGACCCAGGTTGCTTTTGGTCATGGTGTTTATCACAGAAACAGAAAGAACTAGAACAGTTTCTTTTTTTCCCCATGTGTTTGCTATTTAATTGTATTTCTTCTTTGAAAATTTTCTGATATTATTTTTTATTTCTCCTCAATTTATGTGAGTTCATTTATCTAACTCAGAAAGTTCTTTCCCTCTCTATCCACTGAGGTACCTGCCCCTCCCCTAGTAATTTCATTATTATTCATTTTTATTAGCTTTTAAAGTTTATCTTTTATAACTAGCTTTTTAAATGCATATAAAATTTATCATAACCTAAGATAAGAGATCATGCTTTTTTAAACTGACAATCCTCCTTTTAAAGAAATATTTCTCTTATTGAGAATATTTTGAGCTCATGATACCTTCAAAGGGGCAAGTTTTCCCCAGGTGTGTGTGAGAGGTGGAATGTATGTCTACTCCTCATTCTCCTTATCTCCAGAGTCCAAGGATATGTCAAAGGCATTTAGATAGACTCATCCAGTTCAAGACAATGCAGGAGTGACAGGCACCACCTTGTCAGGTGTACAGAGCTATGTAAGAAGTATCAAAACTGGAGATGGAAATTGGTTGCAGTTTGAGAGTGATAGAACTTTTGAAAGTCGTGAGTTTTCTGATGGGGCCTGAGGTGGGGGAAGCAGCACTCTATGTGTGTTGTGATGTGTGCAGCTGTTAAGGAGAAAACAACTTCACAGTGAGAAGTTTAAAGATGCATGTGGTCCTAATAACACGTCAGCTGAGTGAGAGGATGGGCGTAAGTAAGGCTGTCTTCCTGTCACACAGATGGAGAATGAGCTGGATTCTGCGCGCTCTGAAATAGAACTGCTCAGGAGTCAGATGACAAATGAGAGGATCTCCATGCAGAATCTCGAGGCTTTGCTGGTGGCCAACCGAGACAAAGAGTACCAGTCCCAGATAGCATTGCAAGAAAAGGAGTCTGAGATCCAGCTTCTGAAGGAGCACCTTTGTCTGGCAGAGAACAAAATGTGAGTCGGCTGCAGTGGAGCAGCACAGAGCACTCTGCCCTCGTTCTCAGTACCTCATAACTGAGAATTTTAAAGCTGGGATCTGGAGGTTGGAGCGCACAGTTTGCCATTAATTAGACTGAGAATCAGGAGTATTGTGATTTGCTGAAGATTTAATACCATAGTCTAGTTTTTCTAATCTAAGGTTTTTAAATGTAACAATGTCTGCTGATTGTTTTGAACCCACAGTTTTGAATATAATAGATAGTCTGATCTAAAATATTGTCATTAGGAAATGTAAAATAAAGCAAGCGCTCTGAAACCTCAAGGACTTTTGTATTTATGGGCTGTCTGGTATTGTTCTCTGTCTCTCCATTTGTTCCCAATGTCTGTGAGAGTATATACTGGATGCCCAGAAGAACTGAACCCTGGAAACACTGAGCACTCCCTCAGAATTTTTTTTAATCTTAGCCTGTTTTTTTTTTTTAATAAACCACCAATAATACTAGCCTTTAATTTGAAGACCTTTAGCTTGACATTCAAGTGTAAATATCTGCCTGGGGAGTGAAAGTTTATTAAAATTGGTCACCTCTAATGAAAGTTAATGGGAATCCTCAGCCTCTGTGACCCACTTGTAACACTTTCATCCTGCCCATCCTCAGACCTGAGCCTGGCACCTGGGGAAGCATAGTGATCATTTTCTCAGCAGTCAGCCACCCATAGGTGCCCTTGGTGATCAAGGACCCCCAAGTCAGGGGTAGTTTCCTTGACAGTACTGTTGGGTCCTCTTGGATGTGACTGAGTCATTCTTGTCAGTTCTAGTTAGTGAGGCTGTTGTGATACCTTCAGCAGGTCCCTCAGGGTCCCTTTCTCAGACTGGTGGGTGGAAATCCACCTTAGGAAAGAAACAGAACTCCCACGAGGATGTATTCCATTTCAGACTGCTGCTAAGTACTGTGACATGGAGCTGGCCAATGTGGGAAACTTAGTTTATAAAGAATATTTGCGTAAATGAATAATATAGATGATACATAATATTGTCCCATTTGTGTACACAGAAACAGAGACAAGAAGGTTTGATTCATTGAACAGGACTGGGATTGCTGAGGCTTTTCAAGTAATCAAGTTTGTACATTGAATATATCTAAAACATGCCCTTAAAATTGTCCATAAAAATCACAGTGTAGGGCTGAGGACATAGCTTGGTCAGTAAGATGCCTGCTATGCAAGCATAAGGATCTGGGTTTGAATCCTCAGCATCCATGTGAAAGCCAGGAGCAGCAGTATGCACCTGTAACCCCAGCACTGGGGGAGTGGAGACAGACAGGTCCCTGAAATACCTTGGCCAAACTGCATGGCCAGATGGATGAACTCCAGTTTCAGTTGGGAGACCCTCTAAAACAAATACAGTGGAGAGTGACTGAACAAAATACCCCAAGTCAGCCTCTGCCCTCCCCAAACACATGTGCAATATACACACAGACAGGAGCAAGTCCAGCATGTACACACACACACACACACACACACACACACACACACACACACACACACACACACTCACACCATGAAATAACTTGCCAAACTCACGTTGTGACTTGGATCCAGCTAAGATGCCATTACCAGTATGGTTTAATATACTCTTGGCATCACAGGTGTATTTGAGTTTAATCAACCATCACTCTTATCTTTTGCACAGGGCCATCCAGAGTAGAGACGTGGCCCAGTTCAGAAATGTCGTAACACAGTTGGAAGCAGATTTGGACATTACTAAAAGACAGCTAGGGACAGAACGATTTGAAAGGTAAGTTGATCTCTCTGCAACACTCTACCTGCACATGTTGTTTCTTAGTTAACAATAGGTTTTATTTTTGTAGGTCTGTGTGTACATATGTGGAGTTTTTTTTTTTGTTGTTGTTTGTTTTTTGAGACAAAGTCTCACTCTAGTCCAGGCTAGCCTCAAACTGCTGATCCTCCTGTGTCAGCCTCCGGAATGCTGGTGTTACAGGTGTTCTCCTGGCTCAGTAAGGGGTTTATTATTTCGTGATGGGTAGATTTTAGTGTTTGAGTTGAGCTACAGTTTTATGATAGGTTTATAATGCCACTGAATGTAAAGTTCAAAAGCATCACTATTTTGCTACAGGGAAAGGGCTGTCCAAGAACTTCGCCGCCAGAATTACTCAAGTAATGCTTATCATTTGAGTTCAATGAAACCAAATACAAAATGTCACTCACCAGAACGTGCTCACCATCGATCTCCTGACCGAGGCCTCGACCGATCATTAGAAGAGTAAGTGTGCACAGGACCCTGGACACAGGTAGCGGTGTTCACAGTGAAATTTGAGAGAGCAAAGGGATTGATATTTAAACTTGATTACTAAGATACAGTGATCCAGAAGAAAGGGTTTCATCCATAAATAGGAGTTTTATATGAATATTGTACTAAAATGAAATAACTCTTAAGGCTAATCTAATATCTGCAGTGTGTAATACTGTGAATCAAAGCTAAGACCTTGTGCATGCTAGGCAACCACTGTACACTGAACTGTGCCAGCAGCCAATATGTTATATTGTCAAGGTGTGAATTCCTTTTTACGTCTGTATTATTTTTCATGTACATTTATTACAAAATGTGGGTTAATTGCTATCGCACCATAGAATAAATAAGAAGGTGTTTACCATTTTTCATTTTAGATTTATTGTTATATTTCACAAATGTTTAAAAATTTTATTTGTGAATAACTTAAAATTTGTATGAAGTTACAAAAGTAAAAATACCTCTCAATTCACTATTGTTGAATTTTTGTCCTATTTGTTTTATTTTAAATAGAAATGTCTCATTTACCTACACTACTATATTTTTCCCCATCACACTACTTTCTCTCTCCCTGTTTGAAAAAGCAGCCAGTACTTCTCATTCCAAAGCATCATCACAGACTTCTGTCTTGTCTTACCTCGTTTTGTCTTTGTATATTCCCTATGTCACTGTGAGAACTGAGGCTCAACACCAACAGTGTTCTCAACATTCCTGACTCACTTGCTCAGCCCAGAACATGTCTGAAACTGTCTCTGGATTTCGGCAACATCCATCAGTTCAGTAAATAGACGAATTAAAAAGTTCAAGATCTGTTTGCAGGCCATCGTTTCTGCCTTTGTATCCCAATTTTCCCATGTACTGAGGGCATTTAACCAAATACCAAGTTCATGAATAACTTAAATTTGTTCTTTCATTCCCCCATGACCCACTGATACCTGCATTATGACCAGTTGTGGTCATAATATGTTTTCTCTAATAGTCTGAAAATACTAAAAAGGAAATATTAAAAATACCCCTTCCTGATTAAAAAATTAGTTTATGTATATGGGTGTTTTGCCTGAATGTATGTATAATGTACCAGTAATGTGCCTGGTGCCTGCAGAGGCCAGAGGGGGCATCAGGTCCCCTGGAACTGGAGACACAGAAGGTTGTGAGCCATCATGTGGAGTCAAAGCCCAGTCCTCTGGAAGAATACCCAGCAATCGTATTAACCGCCGAGTTTTCTCTAGCCCCCTTCAAACCCCAGAGCTTTAATGTACTACTTATGACCTATTTTTTCCTCTTATTAATTTCTGTTTTTATTATTATTTCCTTCCTGTGTTATTTTTAACCTTGTTGGAGTTTTCTGCTAGCTTTTTGGGTTGAGAATTCATTCATTTACTACTATTCTTTTGTTTAATTGGTGGAGATATTTAGGGTTCTTCATTTTCCTCTGTTGCTGTTTCAAATGATCTCATGTAGTCTTAACTATTTTGCTTTTCTTTTAGTTAGTTTGTGAAATTCTGTGGTTTCCACTTGTACCAATGTGTTGATGGAAAATCTTGTAATTTTCAGTTGAAAGAATGTTTTGTGTTTCAGTTTTTGTGTTTATTTCTTCTATTTTTGCATCATGACTAGGAAATATTATCTTTATCACTTCTGTTTCATGAGCTTTGTGGTCTGCATGTCTTATACAGGACCAGTTTTTTTGTTGTTTTTGTTTGTTTGTTTGTTTGTTTTTCGAGACAGGGTTTCTCTGTGTAGCTTTGGAGCCTGTCCTGGAACTCACTCTGTACCCCAGGCTGGCCTCGAACTCACAGAGATCCACCTGGCTCTGCCTCCCAAGTGCTGGGATTAAAGGTGTGCGCCACCAAAGCCTGGCACATGACCAGTTTTTACAAATATGTGCACTTAAGCAGGTATGTTTCTTTTTACAGCACAGTATTATTAGAAACCCTGACTTTTGTGGTGTTGCATACATCTTTTAAGTAGGTCTGATTACCTTTTGTCCACTTGGCCTTTCGTATATTGTGAGTGATATTTTAAAGTCTGCCATGTATTTTAATTTCTTGCATCTCCTATACGTTTTTTTTTTTAAGATTTCTTTATTTATTATGTATACAGAAGAGGGTGCCAGATCTCATTACAGATGGTTGTGAGCCACCATGTGGGTGCTGAGAACTGAACTCAGGACCTCTAGAAGAACAGTCCTGAGCAGTTGGTGCTCGGTGCTCTTAACCTCTAAGCCATCTCTACAGCCCCTCCTATACGTTTTAAGGACAGAATTTTTTATTTATTTTCAGAAATTGAACAATTCCCATTAACATCCATTCTCTTAAAAGTCTATAGAGATATAATAAAGGAGTACTGCTTATAGAAACAGAAACAGAGCTAGTGTTTTCAAAGATGATGGGATTGTATGTGCTGATAAGAAGGAATCTCGAAATAAAATTTTGGAATTGATAAGTATATTAGCATATATTAACAAGTTTTAGGAATAAATACTATCAATATCAATGATTAGTATTAGTCCACATGCCACACCAAACAAAACACAGTTTCAAATGGCAGTTTTCAGTAACATCAGATACTAGGGATTTTAATCTAAGAGATGCTTCATAGCTAATCATAAAACATTAATGTGAGAAGTTCAGCAATGGACTCTAGGAGCTAGCAATACATGGCCAGAGCTTGCTTTCTTTAGAAGCTGTACTCCTTCACTTGCTTCTGGGTTAAGAAGAGACTGAGTTTCAAGGAATAATTTTCTGTGTGTTTAGGGGTGGGCATGTGCATGTTTGTGTGAACGACTACAGAGGCCAGAGGTCAATCTTAGCTTTGTTTCTCTGGCACTGTCCACATTTTTTTTTTTGAGACAAGGTTTCTCTGTGCAACAGTCCTGGCTGTCCTGGAACTCACTCTGTAGACTAGACTGGCCTTGAACTCACAGAGATCCACCTACCTCTGCCTCCTGAGTGCTGGAATTAGAGGTGTGTGCCACCACCACCTGGCCACCTTTTTTGTTTCTTTGTTTTGAGACATATTCTTTCACTGGCCTGAAACTCTCCAAGTGGTCTAGACTGGCTGTCTAGTCAGCCCTAGAGATTCCTGTCTCTGCCTCCCCAGCACTGAGATTACAAATGTAAACCACCATGCCCAGCTTTTTCTGAGTTCTAGGGATCAAACTAGAGTGTTCATAATTACAATTTCCCCGATGGAGCCATCTCCCCAGCCTTCATCTTCTTGACCAGGACTACCCTGGAGCTCAGCATCACTTGTGAACAGCAGTTCTTGTTGGTCACCTTCCAGGCCAGGGCCTTGAACTGAGCTGAAAACTGAGAGATGCTCTCGTCTTTCTTCTGGACACATAGAACATCTGTCTGCTGGGCAGCCGCAGGTCCAGCTGCTGATCAGTCATTGGTGACCTCTTTCCTCTCTGCTTTTGGTTCCTGTTCCAGCACCAGTGCTAAGCCTATAGGCTGAAGATGATGCCCCAGCACTGCGGAGAAACCTCAGGTGACTGTCCAGACAGCTGTCTGTTTCTGTCAACTCACAAATTTTTTGGAAGTTGCTTATGTGCACTTCCTGTTTTTATTTTTGTTAGCTAATATTATTTCCTTCTTGGGTCTCTGAGGGAGTTGAAGATTAGTTAGTTATAGTTGAAGATTAGTTAGTTATAGTTGAAGATTAGTTAGTTATAGTTGAAGATTAATTAGGATACATTTTGGACTTACCAAAATAGGATAGATAATGAAATTATTTTCTCTGAATTTGTCAAATACAAATGGACTAGACATTGTTTAGGTATTTATTACTTGTATATATTGTATATAGTTATTGTCCTTTTGTATATAGTTTTTCTTATATTAGTTATAAGCTTTTTCTTTTTTTTCCTTTTTATTAAAATAGAAAAGGGGAAATATGGTGATATTTTATTTGTATTAAAATGTTATTTGTATGTTGATAAATAAAGTTGCCCGGGGGTCAGAGCTATTAGCAAGCCATAGGAAAGCAGGGCAGTGGTGGCGTACGCTTGTAATTCCAGCACTTGGTAGGCAGAGCTGGGTAAGTCTCTGTGTGTTCAGGGATACAGCCATTATTGGATACACATGCCTTTAATCTTAATACCAATCATGGAAAACCTGGAGGCCTATACAGACAGGCTGTGAGGAGGCGGTCATGTGGTTGGGTTTACAACCAATGAGAAGGCAAGACAGGAACTCTATATAAAGACTTTAACACAGGGGTAGCTCTGGTTCGGAGAGGTAGGACCACCGCAGGAGGAAGGGTAAGGTTTTAGCTCTTAGCTCTGACCTCTTGGCTTTCTTCTTTGCATTGGTTCTGTGTTTCTTATTTAATAAGAAGGTTGGATACATCTACACACCAGTGTTCAGATCTTACCTTGGCCAGCTCTGACGTAAGATTATTTTGTATGTGGTTTGCTGATGTTCGCTACACCAGCACTCAGAACTGTCATCCTTCCTGTGGCATGTAACTTTTATGGAGTGTTCTTTTCTGAAACATTTACATTCTCTGTTTGGCCTGCTGTCTAAAGCTGTGTATTCAGGTTGCCGATCCTGCTCTCTTTTTGTCTCCGTTTTCTTGGTAAATAACTTTACTTAACTGTTTTTGAATCTTTCTGTCTTACTGTATCTCTCTTATAAAGTATTGATTTGAGTTTTGCTTCATAAGCCATTTAAAAAAATTTTTACTGAAGTTAAAAAAGTTTAATAGAGGTAAAAATTTTTACACTGTTGCTGTAACTGTTACATTTGGTCTGAAATCCATCCCAGTATCTTACGTTTGCTGTTTGTATTATGCCGTTTCCTGTATTTCTCCATTTGATTGGTTCTTGTAATAATTAGAAAGTTTTGTATTTTATCTGTTACTTTCGTTAATAATATACCCTTAGCCCCCCTTTTAAAATCATCGTTCACTGTCAACTTAAAATGTTATCCCTGAGGCTGGAGAGATGGCTAGGTAGTTAAGAGTGCTTGCTGCTCTTCCAGAGGACCCAAGATGGATCCTGTTTCCTCTGCCACTAGTTTTATCTCTTGCAGGTTGTCAGGTAACTGGTATCATACGTTATATAGCCTCTGGTGCTGACTCAGTCTCAGCATAATATATTTTGAGTCTTATCCAGAGTCTTACATGCTCTTAACTGCTGAGCAATATTAAATACCCATCGTATGGATGAACCACAAGTAATGGCTATTGTTTCAGAGGTAGTTGTAAAGTAATGCAGAGAATCTCATATAGTTTTTCCAGTTCCTACAGCATCAGCACCTTGCCAACAGGAAATCAGCTCTGGTATAATTCAGTGCATAGACTTTATTAATATTTCCGTAGTATATTCATTTGTGTGTGTGCATGCATGCATGTACAGTTTTTGCATATACCACTTGCTAATAACTAAATACTGACTTGTCCCACCAGCACCCAATAACTTACTTAGGAGGAGATCTGAAGAAAGGAACATGTGTGACATGAAAGCAGAAGGGGCTCCTGTTAGAGGACAAAGGAACCAGCAGATGGGGGAGGGTGGTGAGGGGGACACTGAGGCAGCATACAAATAGAAAAGGTATAATAACACGTATGTATGAAAACACCCATTACCAACTTAAAAATTAATTGTTAAAGAAAATCTTCCCTTGTGGTACCCATCCCTTTGGAGTTAGAATCTGTATCTCCTGTTTGCCTACCAGGTGGCCAACTAACTTCTTATCCGTACTATAATTCTGTCAGTTTGAGGAGCCTATGCAAATTCGGTCATGCACAGAACGCAACCTTTGAAACTGACCTTTTTCATCTAGCATAATGGTCATGACAACCATCCACGTTGTCCATCTTAGTATTTCTCTCCTTTTATGTTACAGTAGTATATCCCTGTCATTAATAGTACTCCATGGTTTATGAACAAATTCACTATATCCATTTTCCTTCACAGAAGCTGAGGGGAAACCCCAAGCACTGCTAAAGTAATCATAATATATCCTTTTTACACATGCTGAAGTTATTTCATTTAAAACCTTAATCTCTTTCTTTTTCTATTATAGGAATCTTTGCTATAGAGATTTCTGACATGTGAAAAGATTCTCCACAGCCTTGGAAAGGTCAAAGATACAAACGGAATTTTTTTTTGCTATTTGATTGCATTTATCTTTTGAATGCTTGACAGTGTTAAATGTATTTATTAACTTTGTGCCTCTGAGTCTGTTCTCGAGTGCCATATCACAGTGATCTGAGATGATGTATACAAACAAAAATGCACATGGCTCTTTCTATCCATACAGTAATAGTGAGTGTAAAATCTGCTTACTTCACTATTGAGCACTGTTTTGTTAACTATCCGGAGTAAATAAAGAAGCTTAAAAAAGAGGGAAAAGTGTTTTTACAAAACTGATTTCCTTTCCTTTCTTGCTATCTCAAATGAATGGTTGGTTACATTTTTTTTCTTTGTGATTTATATTCTCATGGCTGGAAAAGTTGTGCCAAAATGGGCACAGCCTAGCAGCTCTGGCCTGGGACCCAGTAATGCATTTTGGAACCAACCTGACATAACTTCCATGCCACAATCTACCTTCAAAGTAGGAGTGTGCCAGGGCATTCAGTCCATGCTGCTGTAGCGCACAGCCCGAGTACCATGCGTTTTTACAATTGTGTTTGCTCCTACTGTTGTTAGAAAGGTAGGTGATGATCTATCTATCTATCCAAAATGTAAGATTTTTTAAAATCTGTATTTTTCATAAGTTTTCTTCAAAACATTAAAGTACTGCAATGAACTTAATTGCCATTTTATTATTATTTTTTGCCTGTGGCAGCTGTCTGTAATCTAGAGTGACAAGCTATTTCCTTCCCCTCACCTGCATCTCTTAAGTCTCTTTTCTGTCCATAGGCTTTGATTTAATGTTGATATTAGAGCCTGAATGCTACTGTATTTTACTGGTATAAGCTATATGTATTCTTACATTTTAATAAAAAAGCAAGCCCTGTCATTAATAGTATTCTTATGATGAGCAGTTTCTCATTGTATCTAGTTATTATTCGATATGGCAGTAGTGACAAGGATAGTGGCCTCTGGAGATCTGATTTCATCATGACACAATCTCTAGTCCTCTGATACTTTATTATAAATTCATGTCGCATACTCACTTTAGTTTGGTCTTCCAAAACCTTCAGGCTTAGTCATGCGGTTTTAGACAACCATTACAGACTGGCTAAAAAATGGATAAATTACGGTGCCTGCTCATAAATGTGTTAAAGGATAATATGCAGAATAACTTTCCTTGCTCATATCAAATAACACACTGACATACATATTGCAAAACTAACCTCTGCTAGGGTCACCCAGTGACCTTGGCACTAGATCACCATAGCATTAATATTAATCTGTTCTCCTAGACAACCAACAACAGCTGAGTATCACCGATGGAAAACTCTCGCCAGGTCGTATACAGAGTACAGGGTGTTAGGAGAGGGGCACAGGAATGAAGTGTGCAAGAGAGTCTTTTCATACTTGATTACAGTTGTATAGTACTTGATTTATGCCATTAGTTACAAACTGTTTCAAAGGAAAATTATATGGTACATACAAAGGGACCCCTGTTACCTAAAGGCAAGAGAAACCTCACCCATGTTCTAGATTAAAACGTCAAAGATGCTGGGCGGTGGTGGCGCACACCTTTAAACCCAGCACTCAGGAGGCAGAGTCAGGTGGATCTCTGTGAGTTCGAGGCCAGCCTGGTCTACAGAGCAAGATCCAGGACAGGCACCAAAACTACATGGAGAAACCCTGTCTCGAAAAACCAAAAACCAAAACCAAAACAAAACTTCAAAGACAAGATTTTTTTATTAAGGTAAAATTCAAGAATATTTGTTTGAAATGGAATTCTTGTCACTTGATAGAAATACTTACTAGCCTGTTGATGTGGTAGAGCCTGATTGCAAACACAGTATACCAAATGCGTTCTTTCTTGGGTAACAGCAACAGCAACAATCTCCTGAAAAGGACTCTAAGCTCAGAAATGTATATTCAATACAAAACGTCTACGCTTGCTGAAGTAAGTATGTTGAGAAGAGAATTGTTAACTCATTGAGTAATTTAAAAGACAGGAGTTTTGAGCTGGACGTTCCATATAGTTCTAGGACTTGGGCACAGAGGCAGAATGATTGCCAAAAGTTTAAGGCCAGTCCTGTACTATGTAGCGATTCTAAGCTAGTCAAGGGTACATAGAACCTATCTCGAAAAACATTTTTTCTACAGAGAGCCCATTTTGAAGTTCTAGGCATCCTTGGGACTCCTTTGGTCTCTTTAGTTAATAAGAGCCATCATTGAGTTTTCTTTAAGAAGCAGAAGTCATTAGTGTGAGAATCTGTGCTGCAGTTCATAAGATAGAGTTTTGAAGGGAATGGGTGTTCCCCTTTTGATCTTTAGAATATAATTATTAGAGAGTATGGATGTGGCTCAGTGGGACAGCTTGCCTCACATATCCAAAGGCCCAGGTTCCATCCCCAGCTTTAAAAATCACTCCCATAGGAGTTCACCCCCATTAGAGTTTGACAACAATAGGAATAATGGGTTAGTAGTGTTCAGACAGTGTCAACTACATAGCACGTAGGTTGAAACGAGCTAATGTTGCTCAAGGCATGAGAATCTGACTCTCGGGGCCCTGATCGGTGTCTGCTCTTCTTCCCTGCCTTCAGTGCATCTCCCCAGACAGTCTGGCTCTGGGTTTAACAGTCTCCTCTGCTCCCCAAATGCTGTGCTCCAGGTTGCATCCCTTGCATGATCAGCAACAGTTTATAACTGAACTGATGAGACCCATTTACTATACTAAGGTCGGACGAGAGCTGCCAATTGACAAAGACTCCTCACAGGCCATCTGTTTGCAGTCCTCTACGTCAGCACTCATAGCAAACCAGAGAACGAGTGGCGCAAGCTTTCACTCAAAGACAAATCATAAACTATCAGAATATAAAGTTTTAAACCGTGGTCTGATCTGAATTTCAAAAGTGAAGAAAAATTGTCCTTATACCATAAAACATAAAAACCTCAGGATAACTGACTCACCCTCGCAGCTCCTGAAAAAAACAAAACAAAACAAAACAAAACCAAAAAAACCCCCAAAACAGAAACAAAACCCAAAATGAGTTAGACTGATTATCTTTAAATTTTATGTAATTTCCCAATTGAATGGAAAAAAGCAACATATTTTATAAGAAGATATTTATGTTAAATAGCTTCCAAAGCAACTTGTCTTAAGATATGATTTCCACAAAATACTCAGCCTTGCATCATGAATGCCATTCAGAATTTACCCCACAAGCCATTTCAGTGGGTCAGTTTGAACTTGCCTTCTTATTGCAATAAATTCTTGACTTGAAAACAAATTTCTTGTAAATAAATTTTTTTTTTTTTGTAAATAAATTTTTAAGGGAAAGTATCCTATTAGTGCATTATAATTTAGAAAAGACTCTTTGAAATCACAAGGCTGAAGAGCCAGAATATGGTTATAATCACACATCAGGCTGTTTCTCTTAGCCGTACCTCATTGGGTTAGAATTCAGAGAAATAAGGAACATGTCCAACTGCATGATGAATGTGCAATCAAACATATTCAAGTATGTTCGTGTACTAACATGGCCTCTTCTGTTAGGCAGGAATTATGTAAGATGCTTTAGGTAACAGTTCTTATTACAAAAATGTGATTCCTTGGTAGAATATAAAAATAACATGTATAGCAGGGCGATGAAGTACTATACTGTATTAAATCTGTCTTCTTACAGTGCAGACTGGAATGTGATGCAGATAATAAGAAAGATATCACTAAGTGGAGGCACACACCTTTAATCCCAGCACTTGGGAGGCAGAGGCAGGCAAATCTCAGTGAGTTCGAGGCCAGCCTGGTCTACAAAGCGAGTTCCAGGACAGCTTTGTTACGCAGAGAAACCGTGTCTTGAAAAACAAAACAAACAAAAAAAGCTATCTTTTGATTATTGTCCTATTCATTAATTCCTAATCCTAACTTTACTTTGTGTAGCAACTTAGACACCTCCACAGAAAAGTACAATAATATTAGTTTGCCTAGGACACCAGCACATGTGCCTAAAGAAGAATTAAACATTATAACTAAATTTCAGAGACTCTAACAAATTCTTGTGAGTTTTGCAAACGTAACTAAATAGATTATAATAGATTTATAATACATATCATACTTATCTCATATTACATATGCTATAGCATATAATGCATGTGCCTCAAATTGTATTAAATTTTTTCTTGTAACATTAGCAGTTTTATTTTGCTATTTCCCATGAATTTCTAGAATTATGTTTTATTTTTTTAAGATTTATTTTTATTCTGTTTTTCAAAAATTGTTTATTTTATATATATGCCTATGTTTTGCCTCCATATATGTATGTGTACCACATGCTTGCCTGGTGAATGCAGAGACATAAAGAGGGCATTGAATACCCTAGAACTGGAGTTACCTATTTTTATTTTTTAAATTATGTGTCTATGTGTGGCACATATGAGTGCAGGTGCCTACAGAGTCCAGGAAAAGGCGTCAGATACCCTGGAACCAGAATTACAGCTGGCTATGAGCCACCCAATATGAGTTCTGGGAAATGAACTTGAGTCCTCTGAAAGAAGAGTATGCACTCTCAGCCACTGTTTGCTGATTTTTAGACAATTTAAGACACTTAAGAGATGAATTTTTCAGAGAGATCCTATCTAGCTAACCTTTTTGAGGGTCTAAGATGACTAAAAATGAGAGGTAATAATGGAAATGCATACACATACACTATTTCTCTGGGTGACACACACACACACACACACACACACACACACACACAGGGTTTGTTTGTGTTTTAAATGAAGATATTCAAGCGTCTCTCTGTGTGTGTGTGTGTGTGTGTGTGTGTGTGTGTGTGTGTGTGTGTGTGTGTGTATGTGTATACATTTGCTCATGCTCAAAAAATTAACAGAAGTTATTTCCTATGGTTTGAATTGCCGACACACTTAGTCCTCAAATGCACATGTTGGTGGTAGTTAGTGGTGGACCCTCAGGGAGGCAGTGAGCATTAGCTGAGTTCATGAGGGAAGTGCCCTCTTGGTGGAATTAGCAGCTTTATAGGAAAAGGAAGAGAGAGCTGAGCATACGTGTTCCCTTGTTCTTATCACATGATGCACTCTACTGCATTATAATGTGGCAAGGAGGCACTCACCGGTGGACAGCACCTCTATACTGGTGTTTTAGACTCCAAACTATAGTAAATACATTTCTTTCCTTTATAAATTACCCAAAATGTGGTATTCTATCAAAGTAACAGAAAACAGACTAAGCAGTCATTTGAAGGAGGCTTAATTTGGTTAAGAGTTTAATATATAAGTCAATAAAAAGGCGACTCCTTAAAAGTTAACACCCTCAAAAGCTAATAATATTCATTTATTGAAGAAGTAAAACTCTGAGTTTGATCAGTTTGTTTCTGAGAAGACGATCGAGGATGTTAGTCAGCACCAGAGACCAACAGGTGGAAGAGCAAAGAACTGGATGGTGGTGATGGCTGTGCTCTTGACAGTCCTCAGGGGTGTCAACAGACCGAGTCCCCTCTTTCTCCCAGGATGTCTCAGTGTCCAGCTATCAGGTTGTGAGAGCCTTGTCCTGGTCACTGCCCTATTTCCTCACACCTCAGTCACCAACAACACTTCTAGGTCCCAGCTAGGTTTCCGTTCTTAGCATGAACGAAAGCGTGTAGAACCCAGAGTATTTACTGTAGAGATTTGGGGCCACTTAGTGTTCAGAAGCACTCATGATGTTTTCATACTCTGTGCCTTTTTTTTTAATTTTTAATTTGCAATACAATTCAGTTCTACATATCAGCCACGAATTCCCTTGTTCTCCCCCCTCCCGCCTCCCTCACCTTACCCCCAGCCCGCCCCCCATTCCCATCTCCTCCAGGGCAAAGCCTTCCCCGCAGACTGAGATCAACCTGGTGGACT